GGCTCCTGGCCTTACTACTAGGAGCAAGGACGCTACTAGGGGCTCCTGGCATCGCTACTAGGAGCAAGAAGCTACTACCATTTCTGCGGTTTCTGCGTCCTCCGAGGGACAGCTCGGGCCATATCCATGGGGTCATCCACTTCGATGATGAAAGAAAGAGTGTAGATTCGATGCAAATGACATGGCCAAGCCGTTGTTTGGAGGCTTTGCAGAGCTAAGTCACTCCCCAAACAAAGATAGCCAGGGTGATGTGGCATCAGCCGTTTTGACTACTGCAGAGATTTTGTGCCAAACAACCACTGAACCCGAGCTTTGCTGTACTTGTCGAAGCAAGTTTCCTGAACCGGGCCAGTACCGAAGAAAAACCCTGGTATCAATCAGGCAGCATAGCTGCCTGAGGTGTTGTTGTTTTTGATTTACTTAAAAATTAAGGAGATATGATATGTGTTCATCATGAATCATCATCAGGCCTCCTCCACAAACATATGAACAAACATGTATCCTTATACAGTATCGCTCGCACCCGAAAACAGTGTTTTTAACAAACCATTGAGCATGTTTTTGTACGAATGGATTGCTCCAGGAAAAAAGATCAAGGCAGTTGACTAAGAGATGCCGATCGACCTGGGGGCTAAGAAGGGGTCTTTGGGGGGCGCGGGCTACTCCATATGTGCAATGAAGCCCCCATTTGGGGTCGGATTCCTCCAAGTTGCTACTCCAAGCTACTTCTTGATTTCTTTACTGCGCAGACCTCAGGACCTCTTGCTGGGCGATTTCTGCTGGAGCGACCATCTCGGCTTGGATCCCAGGCGGACGGTCCGACCGGCCGACAGGTGGAGCAGACCCACAGGGACCCGTGGAGCAGACCCGCAGGGACCGGCCGTCGCAGCGTTTGGGTGGTGTTTTTCCGAAGTTGACACCCCATCACCAACTTCAACAGGTGGTAGCTCTTCGGAGGGTCAGCTCGGTTTTTGGTCGGATCGATCTCTCCGGCCTCGGGGGGTCAGAGGAAGCGACCGATAGATGATTCATATTGGTTTGCATTCCGCCGGTGACTCTCCCAAAATCACTATAGGCTTTTTGCGGATGTGTTGTTCTTCTAAGTCACGCTTATTTGACTACAAGACATCTAAACCCGATGAATGTTGTGAGATATCCACAATGTCTAGGAGCACCGCCACTCCGCGCGAGCCGGCCACAGGAGTCACTTCTGGAAGGGCGCGACCGTGACCTGGTTGGGCAGATAGTGCGATCTACGATGTGTTTTTCCTCGTGACCATCATGGGATACCTATGGGAAAGTCCAAAGGGCTCTTCAACCTCTGTTGGAAGATCGGGTGAAAGTTGCTCAAGAGTTTTAGCATGTTTTAGCTGAGAGTTCTCTTTTTTCCATTTTGATCCCGAGAAAGACTCGGTAATGTTTGTTCGGTCTACGGGGAAGATGTGTTTCGCTATGTTTGCGCTGGTTTTCCCCGGGGTTCCTCAATGTAGACTCTTGATTAAGAACCCCCGCATTTGGATGCGCGAACTTGGGGTCCCAATTCGACGCGCGCCCACTAACCCCCCCATTTGGATTGAAAGACCTCTTCATAAATGGGAGGAGTTATTAAGATATATTAAAATCAAGAGTCTACATGAAGATTCACAGCAACCTTCCAAGGTGATGATGATCCGCAACATCCCCGCGCGCTGCCAAGACCGAGAGCTCACAGCCATTATCCAAGAGGCCGACGACGAAACCGGAGAGCTCCCCGTGTTCCGCTGCTTCGACGAGCGCTTCGCGGTGCGGAGAGTGGAAGGTGGTCGTGGAGTGGTTCGAACTCGGTTTGCCCGATTCTGACTGGTGCGTCTCGCAGGGAATGAGGGTGGCTGGATCCAATAGAATCTCTATTGGGGGGCTCATTCCCTTATTCCCTACTAAGCACCAGTCAGTCATTGGAGCTGTTTTTTGGGGTGTGTTGATGATGTCGATGGTTTGACTCGTCCAATTTGGGGTGATGGTTTCTTTGCACTGCTCCACACCGGATAGAGAGGTTCCGTCTGGCACCAGGCACCAGGTGCAGCATGGTCCAGCTGCATCCACGGTGCCTTTGGATGCCTAGACCATGAAAGCTGCACACCCACCAAGCGCCAAATGTGCTCAGCCAGGCGACGTCAGAGTTTCGGCTTCAAATGCCACGACGTCCCGGCAACGGCAAATGCAAGGGTTATGTGCCGCGACTGCAGATAGGTATCAGGATGGACACATGTTTGAACTACTGTGGCACGATGGGACTTGGGAACCTCTTGTTGAAAGAAGGGTAGATGGTAGATGACAGAATAGGATGGCCCCATCCCCGTTGTATACAGCGTTGATGTTTCTGGATGTGGTCTATCCTCGGCATTCGAGAACTGCCAATCATGAAAAGCTCAACATTGAACCTCTCGGTTTTTCAGAACGTGGCGGTGTAAGACGATGAAAAAACCCTCCGTCTTCGTCTTTTGGCTTTGAGAATGTCTCTCTTTGCGGCCGAGGGGTAGCATCCTTCGAACACGTGGTGAACCCCATCAGGCTTACCTCAACTTGTTTGATGTTGCATTATTGAAGACGCTCAGGGTGAGAGCGGTCCCGTGGCCTGATGATGTTCGGGTAGGGTTTAGCGTCAGCTGCTTAGGCTTGTGGGGCCTGTAGGTCCTCTTACCTGGGTCAGGTTGGGTTTCCCTCTGATTGGGTTGCTTAAACCCTGGGGTCATGTTGACCTGGTGTTAGTTAGCCGCAGTGTGCTCAGATGTGAGGTGAGCTGTTTGTCAGTTCATGGCGATCAATTCACCTGCCCTCCGCCAAGCGCCGGCTCTGTTAGTGGATCATGTGATTGCCTTGGAGCAAATAACTGCTCATTCTGATGTGCTTCAAGATCAAGCGCTAGCTGGTTCTTTATTGGTCCTTTTGTATGCTCGTTGTCGCTTCGGCGATGGTCAGCGTGCCACAGATCTCTTGTTGGACATTGCACAAGATGCTTCGGGCCAAACGACGGGCTTCATCGAGTTGTCCATCAGACGGCATAAGACTGCAACCAGCATTGAACGGAAGCGCCGCATTTTACCTGTTGTTGCGCCGATCTTTTCTCTGTCGAGCATAGCGTGGCATGATGCTTGGGTAAGGGCGCGCGAACAATTAGGCCTATGCACAGAAGGACAACTGAGCGCACCATTGTGCCCTGCATTTGACCGTGAAGGCGCCCCCCTCCCAAATGGTTCGACTTCGGGCGAA